GAACAAATATGAAAAGGACAAATCACATTGCAGAACAGGAGGGGGATGCGGGGGGAAGGGGGGGAGGAAGGAAGGTAAGTGTCTGTGAATTGATGATATTAGAGGTAGGGAGAGTGGGATGTTTGTGAGTTAATGGTATTAGAGGTGATAATTGGGGAAACTGTCTTGGTAATGGGTGAGATAGTTCAAATGTTTAAGTCCTTGTTGGAAAGTGTCGAATTTTAACATGAATGACAGTTCAGAGGATTCCCTTTCAAGTGCAGATAGTCTTTAAAGTGATCTAGTTAGTCTTTAAAGTGATCTGCACTTGAAAGGGAATCCTCTGAACTGTCATTCATGTTAAAATTCGACACTTTCCAACAAGGACTTAAACATTTGAACTATCTCACCCATTACCAAGACAGTTTCCCCAATTATCACCTCTAATACCATTAACTCACAAACATCCCACTCTCCCTACCTCTAATATCATCAATTCACAGACACTTACCTTCCTTCCTCCCCTCCCCCCCGCATCCCCCTTCTGTTCTGAAATGTGATTTGTCCTTTTCATATGTGTTCATTTTTTTTAATTGTATCCTTTGGTATATATGGTTGTGACTATTTTCTTCCACTATTTGATCTGAGGAAGTGGGTCTGGCCCACGAAAGCTCATCACCTAATAAACCATCTTGTTAGTCTTTAAAGTGCTACATTGTCCTGCATTTTGCTCCCAGTACCTACAGTTTTTCAGACACACACAATTTTATTCTACCATTGCAGCACATTTGTTTAAACAACTTCATCAAAGCCGGGAGGGTGGTGACATTATTGAGTGTAAAAAGTACAAAAATAATCAAGCGCTGTAAAACTTTAAAACAAAAATTCAGTTCTCTCCTAATTTCAGTTGTTGACATACACTCCCCCCCCGCCCCCGACTTCTCTTGAGTACCCCTAAGGGAACTTGACCTACTGCTTGAGAAACACTGATCTAGACCATCCCTGACAGGTGTCTGTCCAACCTGCTTTTCGATATCTCCAGTGGTGGAGATTCCACAACCTCCCTAGGCAACTTATTCCAGTGTTTCACCCTAGACTGTTAAACCACCCTGAGAGTTAGGAAGTTTTTCCTAATGTCCAGGGCTCGCCAAACCGCAGTGAGCCCCGCTCGCCAGCCGTGCTGTCCGGCAATCTGCGCATGCGCTGTCCCAGCTCTTCCGGGTTGTAATCTACTCGCCACGGGCGAGTAAATTACATAACTTGTCGAGCCCTGCTAATGTCCAACCTAAACCTCCCTTGCTGCAGTTTACACCCCGTTAAATTCCTCTACACCCCTATAAAGTTGAGGCGGGAACGGGAACCTTTCTTCAGGATTCTGGGGCCGTTCGGTAGCTGCCAGCTGGGATTTCTCTCCCCGCGATGGGATTCCTTTGGACGGGCGGGGAAAAGAAAAATCTCATGGCCGATTTAGCGCTGTTGGGCTCTTCTGGAAGCGTGGCCAGATGATGGGGCTCGTGCAGGGAACTTCTCATCACCCCATCTTCCTGTTGCCTTCTCACTGGCAGGCGCCGCTGCGGCACGTGGCGTTACTGAAGAGAGATCCTGGCGCCACCTTCTTCCTGGCAGGGGAGGGGATCCCCCGGGGGCTCACCTACATCCGGGGGGAGCGGGTGAAGGCTCTGTCGGCCTCGCCGCGGGTGTGGCTGGGGGGGGGGGGGGGGGGGGGGGTG